TGTTGAGTGACTGGAGGAACCGTGCAGTTTGTGCTTGATTAGAGGCGATTCTCTGAATTGAAGATGTCCATTAAACATTGAAAAGGGCCCATAGCTCCTGAAGTGTCTCAACATAGAGTTAATCTCTTTTTTGATGTCTCACAATCCAACAAAGATTGACCGGAAGGAGAACTGAGCCCTGGATATTTCTATTTGATGAAGCTGAACATGCTGTTTGATCGCATGCAAAGGTTAGCATGTTAGCATTAATGTTCAAGCAGGTATAGAAGAAAATTAAATGCATTATTTATGGTGCTTTGATGGTGAAGACTGATTGCAAGGTTTGTTACAGTATATACTGTATAGGGATGCTCTCTTACTGCAGCGTTATGTATTGCTTTCTACAACACAGGGTTGCACAAACAAATACAGTTTTAGTCCTCACAGACCAAAACCAAAACAGAAGCTCATTCCTGTCACTTTTGGATGTTTCAGAGAGCAGTTCAGCGAGGGCATTGGGCGACAGGTTGCTGCTGGTGGTGAACTGTGACCTGGATCCAGAGAGCGTGGACTCGGAGCTCCGAGTGGCTCTGCAGTGGATCGCTGCCTCCGAGCTGGGCCTGCCTGCGCTCTACTTCAGGAAGTCCAAAGAGAAAAGGGTTGCAAAGGTAAGCAAAGGGTCAAGTCTAAAATGTTGGGGAAAAAGGTACTGGTATTAGCATGTCAAAAATAGGGGACAAAAGTCATGGTATACTATGTTTTAATAAATTAATGGTATAGTATGTCAGAAATATATCATTAAAAAAAGTCATAGTTTAGTATGTCAAAAATGTAATGAAGAAAATATCATATATTATGTTACAAATATTTCGCATATGGTAGTATAGAATTAAAAAATAAAATAAATGAAACTATGTAGTATGTTGAAAAAGTAATAGAATAACATTTTTTTATATTAATAATATATAATATGTTGAGTCATAGTATAGTTTGTTGAAAAATGTGAAAAAAAACATATTGTGTTTTTTTGTTTTTCTTTACATTTTTTAATCGTATTAATAATAGTTTGACATATTATAGCATTACATTTTATGACATGCTTTATGAGAATGTTTTCAGTATTTTTCAATGACTTTTTTTTTACAACATACTATATTATGATATAATATACTCTTTTATATGTGCTGAAGAGGATGACCGTGTATTTATAGTGTGTGTCTTCTCTCAGTTCCAGAGGGTGGTCCACCTGATGTCTCAGAAGTCGTGGAGGGTTGCGGACCTCTTCAGCGCCGTGGTCCAGTTCTGTAAGCTTCATGAGAATAAGGAAGAGGAGGGGCTCGCTCTGACCAGCCTCTTTGATTGGCTGTTGGAGACCCTGTAGCTCCTCATTCAGCTAACAGAAAGACACTCATTCGCAGAAACATGTTCTTGACTCTAACTGCAAGCTGAAGGCACAACGCGATCAGCATACTTGAGAAATTCATACACCTAAGTCTGTTCATGGTGTTTTTCGTCTATCCGCAGTCATAAATGGACCAGTTTCCCTTTAATAAAAGCATGTTTTCAGATTCACACACAATCACAAACTGTAGGTGTAAGGGTTAAACATTCCTGATGGGAACGAACAACCTTCAAGAGATTATAGTCAGCAGGTTTTAACTGCTCCAGATTATACATATATATACACACAGTATACATATACATATATATACAGATTCTCACAACCAAACTATGTATTTATTTATTCCATATGAACACAGAGAATATGAATCGATGAAATAAAAATCAGGTTAAAATCTCCCCGCAACTCAACATTTTTGTATCACAAATACTTTGTAAAAGAGGCTGGAGAAAAGTAAGCCCAGAGAAAGCGTTCAGTTTATTTGTAAACCACCTAGAATTGCACATCTTTCTTAAAGTAAGCAAAATGCCCATATCTTTGTTGTGTTCATAAGCTGACGTTACACATCTGTTGTGAACTTCAGTTCTTGGTAAGTCTGTTATCATGTTGAGAACTGATTACTTTGGATAGCTGTCCTGTATATACTGTAGATTTTTGGAACTGCTGCACCTTGGAGGAGTGGAGCTCTCTTCAGCTTTTACTAAGTCATGAAGACAGAGTAAGGTTTGTAATGTTGAATTTGTATGTGCATTTGGTCTGTTATCTCTCTACTTAGTGGTACTCTAGTGTTACATCAGCATTGGGTAAAAATAAAGCACACAATTCAGCTGTTAACTCTGTCACGGTAGAACTGAATGTATTATCTTTTGGCATCAATAAATTATTGTGATGTGAAATACAAGCTGTCTTGATTCTTTTGTAACATTTAGCAAAAAGGGAACCAAACACTGTTTAGTCACACATAATATAACTGTGTGGTCTTCCTAAAGTTATTGAAGTTACGGAATCATTACTGCACAGTGCTATCAGAAATGAATTCTTAGTAGCCTACTGCTCATGTCTGTTAATGAAACTAAAGTCACAAGATGATTAGCTTAGCCTAGCATGAAAGCTACTGAAGCCTACCTTTGTTCAAAATCAACGTAGCTAATGTGTTTGACAAATTGTGGTCTAATGGATAACTGTGTCCCTTAACTATGTAAGGAGTAATTAACTGAGTTTTTATGTGTTTCACTTTGGACAGAGCCTGGCTAGTTGTGTCCTGCTGCTTAGTCGTTATGCTAAGCTAAGCTAATCGTCTCCTAACTTTTTCAAAGCACATTTTCCAAATGTGAAACTAGTTAACCTTAGTTTAGGACTTTTAACTATTTATTCTACTATATTTTAAGACTTATGTTATGAAGGTAAAAGTTAAACTGTGGAGTAAATAGAGTCAGGAAACAAGTGAAGCTGCTTATAGTCTTTATGCTAAGCTAAGCTAATTGTCTCCCGGCCTTTTAAACCATATTTTCCAAATTTGAAACTAGTTGACCTTAGTTTATACTACTATATAAATGTATGAGCAACGTAATTAAACGGTTAGGCTCATACAGTCAGGAAACAAGTGCAGCTTTAAACAGATTGAGTAACAGGAGGAACATCCAACCCAGTCTCACAGCATTTCGTGTAATAGTCACAAAATGAATTTAATCTATTGATTCGTGTTCACCAACACGAATTTTGCATTTTTTTTCGTGTCACACAGAACGATTTTAAAAGCAATGTATTTCTATTGGTAGTATGTTTCGTGCCTGCACCACGTCTTTTTGTCCGGTCGGGTCTTGGAAGACCGGAAGCTGTGGGGTTCATACAAAAATGGTCTTACTCAATATCTTACCCTAAGCCTAACCCTTTTATTTTAAATTGTATAATGTCAGAGTTTTTTTGCCGTCCGCGAGGAAAATAAATGGGGCTCAGAGCCTCAGAATACTGAAATCTGTATTTGTTATTATTTGGTGCAGGCACGAAACATACT